ATTCCTGCCTGGTCCCTCTTGCCCTGCCTGCTGCCTCCCAGGGCTTGGGAGATGCTCTGGGCTCAGATCTGCACCAAATGCCTCCAGTTCCTTGATTACCTCTGTCCCCATCAGGAACAGTGACATAAGTGCCCTGGATTTGTTTCTCCAAGAGCGTTGACAGCCAGTGAGTGCCATAAGTTGTTGGTCCCTAACGGTGTGTCCCCAGGCCTTGGCAGAGTCCCCTGGGATGGTTCTCTGCAGGGTGTTCCCCTCTGCCCTACTGTTCATCAAGCAGCTTGGGAGACTTGTGGCCACCACGGTGACACCTCTGCCAGGATGGGTTGGGTCTTGGGTCCTTCAGCCAGCGGGGTCCCCTTGGTGACCCCCTAAAATGCACTCTCTGTCTCCCTGCCAGGCTTACCTGCGAGCGGTCGATGTGAAGATCCTGCAGCAGCTGGTGGTGGTGAACGAGGGCATCGAGGCGGTGAAGTGGCTGCTGGAGGAGAGGAGCACGCTGCCCAGCCGCTGCAGCAGCCTGACCAGCAGCCAGTACAGCCTGGTGGAGAGCCAGGCAGCCTCACGGCGGGGCAGCTGGGACAGCCTGCAGGACCCCAACGACAGGCTGGACAGCATCTCCCTTGGTAGCTACCTGGACACTCTGGCTGATGACATGGATGAATATTCCCAAAACGCTGCTGAAACCACCGTTGCATCCATGCCAGGCAGAGCCCTGGTCAGGGCAGAGCAGGATTGGGTCAGGATCGACCCTGAGAGGGGTCTTGCAAAGCAAGAAAGGGGCAGAGCGGAGCACGAGTGGCCCCACGGGGACTTCTCCCCACCCGGGCTGCCCCAGGATCACCGGATTGCTAAGGAGCCGCAGGTGGCCAATGGGTATTTGGGCCAGCAGCCCTCCTCTTTGGAACCAGGCAGAGACACCAAATTACCTTTAGGAGCTGGGGAGAGGCTGGGGAAGGGGAACCTGGGTGGGAAGGCTCGGAAAGCTGAGGCTGACTTGGAGAACTGCAAACTCAACAGCAAACTGCACCTGGAGTATGATGCCCACTGGCGCTGGCTCCAGTCTCAGGATGATGTGACATTCTTGTAGCCCGTGGCTTTGCCTTCCCAGTCCAGCTCTCCTGACTGCCTGGCTCTGCTTCACTTGTCTCTGCTTGGAAGAGCTGGGGTGGCTGGGGAGGTGGCTGGCTTGGTGGTGTTGCACTGTTCGTTGGACCCCCTGCCAGTGTTTGGTGATGCAGTCCTAAGGGGCAGGATGCCTGACCTGCAGTGAATTTCTGGGAGGGGTGGGATGAAGTGGGTCCCTGCAAACTTAACTTTTGCTCTGGGGTGGTGCCTGCAGGTGGCTGGTCACTCCTCTGCTGTTCTTGATGTTGGTGACAGGGAAGAGCTGGTGGGGAAACTTGAGGCAGCAGGACTTCTGGGACCTTTCCACTTTAATCCTCAACCTCCTTTCTTCAAAAACTGGGGACCCTTCCCCCAGACCGGCTACCCAGATTGGATAGGAGATGCTCCCCATGCATTCAAAGCTCAGTGGCACCAGCATGCTTGGTGCAAGCTGCAGGGCAGGACCATAAGCAGGGCACCCCTGTTGGATGGGCTCATCTCCATCATCGTGGCCAGTGGCCATTCAGGGTAGAATTGACCTGGGGCACTTGGGGTTTGGCCACAGCACATGGTGGATGCTAAAACTCCCTTGGCTAAAACTTCCCTGTGAGTGAAGCTCTGCCTGGTTTAAACACCTCTGTGAAGCCAATCTGAAGCATGATCAGGGCTGTCACTGTAGCTGCTCCTGTTGGGCTGGGGAGCCATTTACCGTGCCCCATGAAGGAAGGCTAGTGGTGGGGACTTCTCTTCCCTGTGTGATTATATGAGAAGGGCAAAGCACTGGGTGGGAGGTGAAGATAGGATATTCCCAATTTGTTTCTGGACTGTTTCCCAGCTTGGGACCAGGTCCTTCAGAACCCCCAGGATGTGGCAGCGTATAGGTAGCCTTGTAGAGCCTGTGGGGCCCAGACTCCAAAAGGCTCATTACTTTCCCTGATGCAGCTTTATGGAGCCATGGCTGGGATTCTTCATCCATGTGATGAACAATGCCAGGTCTCTGCCCCCCACCAGCAAACAGAAACACGAGGCTCCACTGCTGGGGTGGATCTGCAGTGACCCTGGAGACAGCTTCTCTGTCCTTTTTAAAAGCCTTGCTTTCTGCCTGTGCCTTTCACTCTTCACCCACCATTCCTCCCAGCACACTCCTTGTCCCTTGCTGGCTTGTCGAGCATGGCTTGCAGCTGGAGCTGTGTGTGAGCTCAGGCAGGACCTGCTCCCTTCACTGGACGATGCAGGGAAGGATCTGCAGCCCCCTGCTTCAAGGAGAGGGGCTCTTCCATGTGTGTGGATGAGCCTGGAGGGTCCTGGCTTCACAACCTGCTGATGTGTCTGTCCCTGGCTGTGACAGCTTTGCTTTAGCCACCGTGCTGTCATTCCTCTGCCTGCGCATATTGCAGCCTGGCTCTTCCCTTGCTGGGGTGGTGGGAGTGGGGACAGCATCTTCTGAGGGCAATGAGAAGCCAAGAGGGAAGACCTTGCTGTGACATTTCCTAGATGTGATCTGGCTGTGGTTAGGAGGGCGGTCAGGTGCATGACAGGCTCAGCTTTGTGTCTCTGAAGCAGTCCCTTCAGTGGAAACTACCCTCCTGAGGGTAGTGCTGAGACCCCCAGGCACCCTCCCTTCCCCTGCAGATCCTCAGGGCTTCCCTGAATCGATATGGAGAGCAGGACAACATCCAGAACTCCCAAAGATGGCATCTGCCAAGGACCTGGGGGGAATTCCAGCAAACTGGGACAGGGTTGCCCTACATGAGTGTCCTGCCTGCCTCCGAGCAGCTGTGCTTGGCTTGTTGTTGCCTGTGAGCAGCTCGTGGCTCCATTGCTGCTGCTGAGCCACCAAGTCCCCCAAGTCTGGCTGTCCCCCGCTTTCCTTATAGCCCTGCATGCGATGAATCAGCTGAGGGTCCCAGGAGGAGATGGGCTATGTCCTCCAGTGCTGTTAAAATAATCCTTGACAAAAAATAGCTGGCTTAATAAATGGTAGTGCTTCTCCCAGGCTGCACTGTCAGTGCTTTGCTGAGCTCATTGGGGGGGGGCTCCAGGGGAAGGGGAGACGCTTCAGCCCTAAACACCTTTGGGCTGCCAGCAGCAGTGCAGGCAGGGCACAGACCACCAGTCCAGCGATCTTTTCTCACACCAGGGTGGTGACATCTAAAATCATGCTTCCTGAAGCAGCTGAGTACCAGAGCACATCTGTTGGGAGTGAGTATGCTGGTGAGACTGGATGTTCAGGAGGTGAGGCATACTGAGCTCAGCTGAACTACAGCTCCATATACAAACAGGAGCTTCACCCTTCCTACCCCACATTTTGTTTGGCAGGTGCATTAGCTGCACTGGGGTCTCTGTTTGCTTCCCTTGTTCTGCAGCTGCAGCTTTGGCTCCTGTGGCCTCCTCCACCCGGGACGTGCAGTGGGTCTGGGTGCAGGACAGACTTCTCCAGCCTGGCGTGGGGTAGGAGGAGCCACAGCTCTGATTTCAGGCTGCTGGGATTTGCTCCTGGGTGGGTCCCTTTAAAACCATTAGCGCCAGTGCTCGCACAAACATCAGCCTTTCCAAAGCAAATGCAAACAGCTTATCCAGCCCTGCCACCCCAGCCTCAGCATCCGTCCGGGCTCCTGGCTTGGAAACCATGAACTTTTGCAGAAGAAGGGGTGGATGCTGGAGCCCGATAGACTTGGCAGGATTTCCCCACTTTCTGCTGGGCTGAGGTAAAAAAAAAATAAAATACAATGAAGAAAACCTTAGAATCAAAAAGCCCAGCCCATTCCTCTGCTGGATTTAGAGCCTGCCAGTTGGGCAGCTCTGTGTTGCCACAGATGAGCCTGTGCTGGGGCTCCCCTGGGCATGCACTCTTCAGCCTGGCTTACAGGAGCCTAAGTACTCCATACACCCTAAATCTGGGTATCCCTCAAATCCCAGCCCTTGGAGCTGGAGGGGTGGATAAGAATCTCACAGTTCTCCTGCCATCCCGTCTCTGGGCTGCTTGGATGAGGGGTCACCCAGCTCTGGGCTCTCCTCAGGCACGTGCAGATCCAATGTGCCCCAAGCCTGCCATGGGGAAACACGCCGGGGACCTCTGCCTTGTTGAAAGGTGGGTGCAACAATGGGGTGCACAGCACCCGTGGGTGGGAAAGAGCCTGCAGCACTGATCTGCAGCCTCTCCTCACTGCTGCCCAGGGAGGAGCAGTTTGCCTGGCCCTGCCTTTGGCTGCCCTTGGGCTGCTCGGTGCCAGTATCAGGTAAGAAAACAAGCAGATACAGCAGGCAGGGTCCCAGCTGGTGCCAGAAAACACCCACCTCTGTCACAATAAAAACACCAGCAAGCCAATTTTTTTTTTTTTAAAGATATACACAGAGATTAGACTGTATTCATGAGGCAGTAAAACACTTTAATAGCTCTCCTTGCTAGTTATTAAAAAGTCCCCTGGGCTTTCCCCTCCCTATGAGCAGCTCAGCTCTGAAAGGGCCTGTCCCTGAGCACTGCAGCCATTTAAGCAATTTATGTTAGTTCCTGTGGGGAGGCAATGTGAAAATAACCTTTTCCCACAGGGTGGGGGAAGAGCCTTGTCCCTATGGTCAGAGGGGAGGTGGCATCCAGACCCTCTGCCAACCACTGTGGCCTTTGGTCTGGCATCCCTGTGGCCCCACACAAGCCTGTGGGCTCACTGGTGTGGGGTGCCTCACCATGGGGTGACCTGAGCAGTGGGTGCAGGGGATGTGTGGGGGCAAGTGCAGCCTGTGGGGCAGATTCTGACACCCCTCCTTCCTTGGGGCTGGGGCAGGGATGCTCCCTGGTGTCACTTGTACTCTTCCCTATGCATTGCTAAGGGATCAGGTGCTGGAAGGAAAACTGTGTTATGGCTGCTCTTGGGGCTGCTCTAAAATGCACCCTTTGGGCTGTGAACAAGCACCAGCTCATCTCAAGGCTTGTCTCAGACCTGCCTGGCATGGTCTTGCCTCTGGCACCCACTGCTGAGATGAAATGATAAGAAGAGGTCTGGGTGGAGCAAGTGTAACCTGGGGCTGACAGTGTCCTGCCCACCAGTTTCCCCACCTGTTTTGCAGGGTGATCTGCCTGAAAATCAGACCCCTCGAGAAAGTTTCCAGCCAGAGAAGCGTGATGAACCAGTGGCAGTGGAAGCCCAGGCCACCCCAGCCCCAGGAGAAGTGTCAAGCTCATGCACCCCAAGGTTCTCTGTAAGCCTTCCAGGGCCCTGAGCTTGCACTGTCTTGCCCATTGCAGGCAGCATGGGGCAGGAGGGACAATAAATGGGGCAGCAAGGGCCGGTCATGTCCCTAAGCCCTGAGATATTTTGTGAGGATCCTCAGGGTGAGCTCCGTGATGCCAAAAGCACCTCCCATTCAAAACAGCATTCATCCCCTGTCCTAGGGGACCTGGTACCCAGCCTGGCCCCACTGTCCAGCCCTCCTCCAGCCAGCACCTCTCACCCTGCCCAGCACCTCCCAGTATGGGTTAAACCAGCTCAGCAGAGAACTCCTGTGTCCTGGGTTTCCAGCCCGTTTTCAGCTTTTCCTTCCCACTGGTTACAGGTCTCCAAGACACTAACCTTCTACAGGTTTTGAGCAGAGAGGCAGCAGAGGAGAAGGAAGAGCTGTCACCTGGTGTCCATCTTCTAAGGAAAGGGCTTGCAGCCTGTGCTCAGCCTGTGCTACATAGCAGAGAACCCACACTGGGCTGGGGATGGTCCAACTGCTCAGGGCAGCTCAGGCACAGAGCAGGATTCTCAGGGTTACCTCCTCCCCACCAGTGGGACCCCCCCAAGCTCCACACTGAGTCTGCTGGTGGTGCCAGCAGCTGAGTGAGCGGGAGGCTGGTAAACACTGGGATAAAGCTGGAGTGTTAGCCAGGAGTGAGCTGAGCTTTTGGGAAAGGCCTCCCTGGGCTGTTCCCTGCTGGGGTGGCAGCCGGCCAGGCCTTGGCTTTGGAGACTAATCCTCTGGCTTTAGAGCTTCCCAGTGCTC